GAGACCGAGCAATGCTGGGTAACTCCAGCTAGTATGGTAATGAAAAAAAATTGTTTTGGCTGGGAAAGAGAATCAGCCAATGAGTTTCACTCCCAGGTGCCTTTCTTAATAAATCCAGAAACTGGAAGAGACAAGGTAGGATTGACATAGGGTTGATTTGGTTTCTAATTCTGCCCTCTGCAGATGTCACTGTGACAAAGGATGAAAGTCATGGAACTCTGGGACACAGACAAGATACTTCAGAATAAATCTTCTAATCATAATTTCTCTTCTTCCTTCACACTTGTGGGGTGGGGGTGGGTCTTTTTCTTAATCTTGTTTTATTTTATATAATCAATGGCTTTGCAGGACAGCACAGTGTTTTCTCACACTTATTTGAATCTGCTTACAGTATTATAATTAGTATCCTGCTTCTATTAAAGCCAATAACAAAATTCTAAATAACTTCAATGGGACAAAGACCCTTGCTGATTTTTCATTGCATGGATTGCCATAGAGTAGAATGTCAAATAAGGGCCAGGTCAAATCTGTAAGCTACACTGGTGAAATCACATATCAAAGAATGCAATATTTTTCTCTACATTGTTTTTCTTGGGACTGTAACACAGTGGACCAGATCTGCTGATCCAGTTGTGCATATTCAGTGCTGGACTTTGAGGGACCAGGGAAGGGAACACTAAGCCACCTTTTCATGCCTCCTCTTCTAGGGCTGGTTTGGGAATGATTTGAAACATGACATAACTGAGAACAACCTAAAAGGACAGTATAAATTATAACCATACCTCCTAAGGACCCTGGCAGTCTTTAGGGACACTCCACATTATGGGCCCCCAGCTTACCATCCTAAATTGAGGACAAAATGGAAGTTGATAGTCTTTCTTTCTTTCTTTCTTTCTTTCTTTCTTTCTTTCTTTCTTTCTTTCTTTCTTTCTTTCTTTCTTTCTTTCTTTTTGCAGATGAGCAAAATAAGGAGCAATCAACAAGGAAACTTCATTTTCTCACTACACACAGTGATAGACAGAACAATACTGTCATAGCATTCAACAAACATGTGCACCAGGGTAAACCATATGTTGTTTGTGAAAGGGTTTACCAAGAATCAAGAAAGATTCAAATCAATGTGTCAGGTGTCAGAGTTGTGCTGCAAAAGGACTTTCAAATAAATGAAACTGTCTTTCTCTGTGTGTATCATTTTGTTGCAGGCATTGAACTAATCTGCGAAAAAGACATTGATCTTGCGACACAAGTGCAAGAGCTGCTGGAGTTCCTTCATGAGAAACAGCATGAGCTAGAGCTTAACGCCGATCAGACTCACAAACGGCTAGAGCAGTGCCTACAGCTCCGGCACCTACAGGCTGAGGTCAAGCAGGTCAGGCTTTCTACTACAGCCATTAAACCATTTTGTGGTAGCTTAAATGTGTCTTGAAAGCAATTACAGTATGTGCAGGCTGTTAAAACTGTTTCTGCCAAATTGCCTCCCTTTAGGTGTATGGAGTGTTAATCCTTTTCTGTAGCAGTATTTGGTCTGTTCACATCTTTCAAAATGAGCCTTTGCAAATAACAGGAGTCTGTTCCATATTCTGTGCATGTGCAAGATCCCATGCATATTAATGGGAGTTATGTTCGCCATGCATGAAAAACTAACCCTAAACTGGAGTATGCCTCAGAACAGAATGTGCTCTGGAAATATGAGGATTTGGGGTACAAACTAAGAGCATTGTGGAGCATTGGTCTCATTAGTGGAGATCTCAGTGCCCAACTTTAAAGCTGATGCCACTCTCTTTTGGCTTCCTTACTCTTTTTTTTCCCATTATCACTGACTTGTGGGGAGCTCAACCAAGTTTATCATCTGTGGTTGAGAGGTAGAACCCTGACTATATGTAGATTGTAACCACGTATCTTGCAATTTTAGCATGTCTTCTAGTTCCAGTTACATTAAAGATCAGTCAGTTGTATTTTGCCTGCCTAAATTTTTCAGTAGCTTTAGATTGGATGTTATATTTCTTCACTTGCTGTCTTATACAGTTGCATGCTGCCACGGAGCTGCAATTTTCCACTCCAAAGATGGCTGCATTTCAGTGAAATGATTATATGTCTTGGTTTAATGGGGCATTCTTGATTTTTTTTCATGGGATGCTCTGAGAATGTCTTTCCGATCACTTGAAATATCCCAGTTTTTTATTTCATCTGTGAAAATATTGAGATTTTTAAATAAATAATTTTATTTGGGGAAGTAAAAGATGCTCTGTGTTTACCAAAGAACACAGACACTATCAACGCTGTTCTTTTGCACAAAGTGAATAGTTAATTATACTTGTTCAATATTTCATGGGAAACTGATTCAGAACGTTTCATTACATCTGCTTTTGATACTGTCCCGCATGACCTTCTCGTAAACAAAATGCAACCTAGATGGAGCTACTATAAGAGGGGTGCAAAAGTGATTGGAAAACCATTCCCAGAGAGTGATCGATGGATCTCAGTCATGCTGGAAAAGCTGAACAAGTGGGGTCAGAGAGGGATCAGTTCTGTTTTGGTTTTGTTCAATATCTTCATCAATGATTTAGACAATGGCATAGAGAGTACTCTTATAAAGTTTGTGCATAATACCAAGCTGGAAGGGGTTGCAAGTGCTTTGGAGGATAGGGTTAAAATTCAAAATGATCTGTACAAACTAGAGAAATGGTCTGAGATAAACAGAATGAAGTTAAATAAAGACAAATGCAAAGTACGCCGCATAGAAAGGAACAATCGGTTTCATGCACACAAAATGGGAAAGGACTGCCAAGGAAGGAGTATTGTACAGAGGGATCTGGAAGTCATAGCGTATCACAAGCTAAATGTGAGTCAACAGTATAACACTGTTAGAAAAAATTGAATATCGTTCTGGGATGTTTTGGCTGGAGTGTTAAAAGGAAGACACAAGAAGCAATTGTTCCACTTTACTCCGCGCTGACTAGGCATCAACTTGAGTATTGTGTCCAGTTCTGGGTGCCACTTTCAGGAAAGATGTGGGTGAATTAAACAAGTCCAGAGGAAATAACAAAAATTATTAAAGGTCTGAAAAACATGACTTATGAGGGAAGATTGAAAGACTTGGGTATGTTTAATCTGGAAAAGAGAAGACTGAGAGGAGATACCATAACAGGTTGTAAAAAATGAAGGAGAGCAAAAAAATGTTCTTAACATCTGAGGAAAGGACAACAAGCTATGAGCTTACATTGCAGCAAAAACAGTTTTAATTGGGTATTAGATAAAACGTCCTCTCAGCGATTAAACTCTGGCATAACTTGCCTAGGGATGTTGTGGAATCTCCATCATTTGAGATTTTTAGGAGCAGTTTAGACAAACACCTGTCAGGAATAGTCTAGATCAGGGCTACTCAACACGAGGCCTGTGGGTGGGATCCTTTGGACATGGCCTCCACAACAGCAAGGTGTCTCCCAGGCGGGGCAAGCATTTGAAAGATTCAAGCGGACAGGCTGGCTGGAACAGACTGGTACTGGGTGTCAGTGTTTCTAGCCCCCAGGGAGCAGGTGCCAGGTGTGCGGGTGCATTTTGTGAGAAGCTATTTGCATATATTTGCAAATATATTTGCATATACATTCAACCACACTTAAGTTGCAGCCCTCGGCATGTGCTGTGAGTATCATTGTAACTCCTGGGGCTTCCAAAGTTGAGTCTAGATAATACTTAGTCCTGCCATAAGAACAGAGGACTGGACTAGATGACCCCCTTAAGGTCCCTTCTAGGCCTATGATTGTGTGATTTCTGGCAAAAATTCTCTAGGCTGAGAAATATGTTCTTGGGGCTGCTGAGCCAGAAACTAGCAGTTGCAAAATGCACTTTTGCCTGAGTAGTTTGCAACTTTAAAAATTGTCCACGCAAATGTATCCTAGTTTTTAATCTTGAGAATACGGTCATCCAGCATTTCAGTGGCAGGTCTGAAGAGTGTGGAATTTATAAAGTGCTTTAGAATCTTTCTGAATGGAAGGCTATGTATTATTATTATTATTATCTTTGTTTATAAAGTGTCTGACTTTCTCTAGACACACAATATATTTCACACACTATATTTACAACAAGCACTTTACTCACTGCAACGTAGCCAGTTCTGAAATGAAACATGGTGGCAATTTAATAGTGCACTGCAGCACTAGTTTAGAACATAGTGTACCGGATGGAACAGGAATTCTATAAATTCAAATTGTTGTTATTGAGCCTGATCTAAGTCCTAATAAAGTAAATGTGAATCTTGAAAGGAGGTTGGATTGGGCCCTTTATGACATAATTGTATTTAGAAAAATACAAGTGATAACTGCTCTCTGGATAACTAAAGCTGTGGATCTTAGAAGCATAGATGGGTTAATTTAATTCACAGGCTTGTGCCTGGGAATATTCTACAAACTAAACATCTGAAAATTTAAGTTATGGAACTAAACTATCTAACTCCTAAAAAAAGGCACACAAACAGCTATCTTGAATTAGTGTTTCCTTAACAGTATTTGACCATCAAAGCCTTCATTATCCTGTGACCTTTCAGTAAGCCGATGGCTAAGAATCATTTTATTTGTTCAACTGAATATAAAAAAATCTATTCCCAATTAACGTATGAATTACTGTAGCTGGTTTCTCCTGAAAAGAGTCAAATTAAAATATATCTGTTCCCTATCCTAAAGTGGCTGTATTTGGTTTCCCAGGAGGATGAGTCATATTCACAACCACTTAGTGAAATTAGAAAATATATTGATTTTGGCTTGTTGTTCATCTCTGGTTTGGTCCAGATTTCCTTCATGTTTTAGAATGAATGGTCTCTACTTTATTATCAAATTGCACTTGCTCTTGAGAGTCAATTGAGATTTGGTTGCCACAGACACCTATTATAGCTCTGGTAAAATTTTGCTGACACAGAAAACTAGGCAGAGTTCTGGAACGTGTACATATGTTTGCATTTTAACATAATGGCTCATGTAAATCAAAAGTCTTTTTCTTGTCTGTATCTATTTAAGTCTCATTTAGGAAAGGTTTCTGCTTTAAATCATATGTTTCACAGGTCTGAATGCCAACAGGATAGATGTTTGGGGCCATTTAAGTGGAAAATGTCAAAGTGTGTTGTTCTGTGACCTGAGAGAGTAGAAATAGGATAGATCAGTGGTTCATAAAATCTTTCATATTGAGGAAGAGAGCCTCTCAAGGACATGTCCTCACCCCTCACCCCTTCTTCTCTGTGGTAACTGTAGAACTTGGAAAGGTTATGCAGAAATAATAGCAGGACAATATTAAGGAAATGAGATTAAAAGAAATTCCCTTTAATGCAATGCTGTCAGCTGTTTGGCTTTCCATTCATGTTTCCGTTTTATATTTGTGCTTTAATTTCCTTTCCCTAGCTATAATACTTTAGTTTTCTCAGTACCCAAAGTACCTGATCTCCCCTCACTGTCCCACTGTTCCTGTCTCTTCATCTCATTTTGCAGTTTAGTTCTTCCGTCTTCTGTGCTTTGTAACCCACCAACTTTGGTGTCCACTTCAGATTTGATCACAACTGAATATAGCCCAAAGGACTACATGAAACAACCATTCTTGACTTTCAGTTTGATAAAAGAAAAAGGTCTCCGGAAGCCTGAAAAGAGTCTTGAGTGAGTCTGTAACTATGAGGAGGTGTCCTCGTTAGATGACTACCCGATGCTTTCCTGCTATACTAGAAGAAATTCCTCCGATCACCTGCAAGGAAATCACCAGCAAAATAAAGATTCTTATACATTAATTTCTGTACTCATTGAAATCAGTGGCGTTTCAAGTTTGAAGTCTGAGGAGAATTTGGCCTTTTTTGTTCGATTATCGGGGGACAAAGATACAATGAAACTCTGCTTATAGCAAATTGGAACAGAAATCTATAATTGTTTCAGTGCATTGTAATTTCGACTCTAGCAAACAAATTATGGGCCATTCTGCAGGCTTTGCTTTAAGTAGGTTCCACTGTTACTGCTTTTCTGTCATAAGCAAAATGATTGGGCCTCTTTGTAGAGCTTTGGGGGATTATTTAACTTCATAATTATTTAATTTCCACTTCAACAAAATTGATAAAATCTGTAATTTGTAGGAAATGTCTGTTTAAAGACTATCATTTAGTGTTAGCCTGTCTGCACATTCTCAGATAATAGCAAGTCTATAGGAGAGTGATCAGAGAATTGTCTTGGGGTTATATTAGAAACATCAATACAAAAATGTAATTAAAAAGTACTATTGAGTCCATTTGTGAGCAGGTCTTGTAAACCAGATAAAAAATATGTAAATCTTTACCTCCAAACATGCCCCAGTTCTCATTTCAGAGAAAGGCTAAGCCCTGCCCTTTTCCCCAGCAAATGGTAG